TAGCAAGAACTCTCACCTTTTATAGATCAGATCCAAATCAAATAAAGAAGAGACCAACAGATTTATTATTATGAGTTTATCTATGTCTTGTCTTGAAGCTTTTGTGAGTGTAAGAGAGAAAGAAGAGAAAACAAGAACAAGTTGCAGAGGAAGTGGTTTTTAAATTATTTTCGTGGCTCAGATTTCACACAAGAGATTTGTGGCTAAGATTTTTCCTCCATCTAAAGCATCTCTCTGATTGGTCCACGTGTTAAATCATATCTTTTTCTGTGTGAGGTCGGCACTTGAAAAAAATAAAAATAAAATAAAATCTTCCAACTACTGGCCAACTTGCACATTTTTTGTAGTTGTATGTTTACGAATATACCCTCCAGATTTAGGCAGAGGTCAGTGCACGATTTCGTAACACGTGTCATGTTCAGTGGATAAGGTGTTCACACGTGGCCTGTGGGTATAGGAGGTTAGGACACGTTACAGACTGTAAAACGGTGGAGTGGGACCGGTGGTTCATGTGACGAGGGTACTATAAGTGGATAATGTTCTTCGCTGTCTTAGCTTTGTCTTCTCATCAGTGTTTATAGTATTTTCCAAAATTAAACTTTAATATACTTATTTATTACTGTATTATTTTAAATAAAAATTACAAAACCGAAAATATCCACATAGATTTTAGTGTGGTCATGTTCAAAACCGATTTTTCGAATTTCGAACTTATATGCATAGAAACCGAAACCAATAAATAAATAAGTATATATTTGTGAGCCACTGAAATTATTTGGATTTCTTTTAACATCACATTATGCAATACTATAACATTGTGTTTGAAATTTAATTAGTTTAGTATAACGTTCCAAGACATATCTTTCTAACAAATTATTTCTATATGTTAATTTATCGTCTTTTAAATACAAAATAAAGTTTGGAGTCCATTTCTTAGAAGATGATTTTATCCACCTTAAAATCATATTAATTTTTGTTTTTTCAAAGAAACATAACTAATCAAATGATAACTAAAAACTTCAAAGTAAGAACCGTACATTCAATATTGCCCTTTTTTTTTGTCGGCCATTCAATACTGCCTTTCTGAATAGAGTTGATAGTCTTATGAAATTTGGAAAACATAGCGATGGTAGAAAAGCTACGTGTGCCGAAGCAAATGAGGGAGAGTGTATATCGTCTCTTTCAAAATATACTTGATCAACGAATTTCGTTTTTCTTCAATCGACATTTCGACCAGATCGTCCTATGTTGCTTCTTCTATGGAGTGGCTAAGGTTTTATTTTTAACTCAAAAACATGTTTTCTAGTTTATGCCGGATTTTGCATTTAACACTATTCATGTGGATCTTCGCTGCACAGATATCCCGAATGAGTTTTAACTTTCAGGGAAATCGTATTTAACTATCGATTGTAAACGACAAGTTTGTCACCAAATTTTTGTGGAATCAGGTTATGTAGATATAATCACATTTTACAATCAAGTTCTTTCTGTAAGATCGTTGCTCCTGAAGTTTGGTCCTCTTCAAAATACCTTAGCTTATGGAGAGTTGGAGACCAATATATTAAATCTCAAGCCTCAAGGTATTCAAAAAGACTAGGGGTCTAAATGGTGACATGAATTATGTAGAATGATGAAGAATTGTAGAATACACCATTTGCATTTGTAGAATAAAATTGGTAAAATGGTAGAATTGCATAATCCTGTACATGTGGGATAAAGTAAAATATTCTCATCTTCGTAATGCTTTTATGTTTATAGTATTTTGTTTTAATAATTGAAGTAATTTATGTTATAAATAATGTTAATAATTATTATTGTAACTTTTTGTGACTATTTGTTTTTTTGTAAGAAAATATAAATTTCCACGAAATTTATAATAAAATAATAAATTTATAATAAACTAAAAATTATAAATCTACAATAAATTAAACAATTATATTGTTCTTTTTATTATATCAAATAATCAATTTTTTTTAATTATATCAATTAATCGATTTGATTAAATTTCAGTTATTCCGTTACTCAAATAAATTAATGTCAATAAATTGGTACTCGATTTATATTAAAAAAAATAGCTTACATTGGATGTAAGTGTTATGTAAATTAAATTTTGTAAAACAAAATATAATTATCTATATGAGAGTTATACCAATTGATTTCTAATTTCTCCTATATATCAATAAAAACTATGAATTTTTATTTTTAAGTGTTCTAATCTTGTATTTGACATGGGAAAAAATCTAGTTTCATGTAAAATAGTTGCATGAATAACGGTGGGATGCATGCTATTTACCACTAAATCTATTTTAACACACATACAAGTATATAAACAAAAAAACACATACAATTAAATTTGTATGTAAACCATATATTTTAAACATATACAACTAAAAAAATATTAAATGTTATTTTGATAAATTTAAGGAAAAATTACAAAAATGTCATTTTTTATGTCTATATTTGCAAAAATGCCATTTAGGGGTGTTCATATGTAAAAATGTCACTAATTATAGATTTTTAAACCTTATATCTTAAAATTCTAAACACTAAAAAATATTTTGACCCCTAAACCCCCTTAAACCCTCATAATAAAACCCTAATAAAACATAATTAACCCAAACATAGATAATATAAAGAAAAAATAATTTTGAAAAAGTAGCATTTTTGTAAAGATTTCAAAAGTGTGACATTTTTGTAAAGTGGCACTTGAAAAGTGGCACTTGAAAAGTGGCATTTTTTGAAATTTCTCTAAATTTAATAACTTTACTAAAATTCAAATTTAATATTTAGTTAGTTTATTTATCTAAGTTTGTTTGAAAATAAATTGTTTTAACTAAAGTTTTCAAATTTTATTTTAATTAATCTTTTTCAAAAATTCAGCTAGATTCAGCAATTCAGCCACATTCAACCGGTACCATTTAGACTCTAGATTTGCTACGTAAATTTACTTAAAACTAGA